TGCCTTTGGCTCGGGTCATGATCTCAGAGTCCTGGGATCGAGCCCCACATCCGGCTCTCTGCTCAGGAGGAAGCCTGCTTCCCTCTCTCTCTCTGCCTGCCTCTCTGCCTGCTTGTGATCTCTCTCTGTCAAATGAATGAATAAATAACTTTAAAAAAATTAATTTAAAAAAATTATAAATTTAAAAAAAAAATAACCCAGCTAAAAAATGGGCAAAAGGTGACACATACAGATGGCAAATAAGCATATGAAAAGACACTCTACATCATGTGTCATCAAGGAAATACAAATTAAAACGAGCTATTCGAATGACCAAAATCCAGAGCACTGACGACACCAAATGCTGGAGGGAATGTGGAGCAACAGGAACTCTCATTCGTTGCTGGCGGCAGTGATAACAGGACAGCCACTCTGGAAGGCAGTTCTGCAGTTTTTGTTTTGTTTTTAGAGATTTATTTATTTGGGAGAGAGAGGGCACACACACGGGCAGAGGGGCAGAGAGAGAGGTCGGGAGAGAAGCAGACTCCGCTCTGAGCGAGGGCTCCCCCACAGGACACTGAGATCTCGACCCAAGCAGAAACCAAGAGCTGGACACTGAACCAACCAAGCCACCAGGCGCCCTAGTTCTAACCTCCTTATACAACCAAACACTCCTACCACACGATGCACGAGTGTGGGGGAGCATGAGTAAGCAAAGGAGGGTGGATTTTTAGGGCAATTAGCTGTTCTGTATGATACTCTGAGGGTGGATAATATGTCATTATACATTTGCCAAAACCCACAGAAGATACAACCACAAAGAGTGAACATTAATGTATCAATACTGGTTTATCAATTATGACAAATGACCCACACTAACGCAAGACGCTCATAACTGGGGAAACGTGAGGTGGAGGAGAGGGCGTGAAGGGAACTCTGTACCTTCTGCCTGACTTTCTTCTATAAGGCTCTAAAAAATAAAGTCCTAAGTTTTTTTAAAGCAATGGATAAAAATTAAAGAAATATCATTTCTACTGCCACTCTTCCTCAACTGTCTACGCAAAGTTGGGAAAGAAATTTTAATTTTCTTTCTCCTATCTATGAGCTTTTCCAGGGACACCTGGGTGGCTCAGTCAGTTAAGCATCTGCCTTCAGCTCAGGTCATGATCCCAGGGTCCTGGGGTGGAGGTCCCCATCGGGCTCTCTGCTCAGCAGGGTGTCTGCTTCTCCCTCTGACTGCTGCTCCCCCTGCTTGTGTCCATGCATGTGCTCGCTCTCTCCGCCAAAAAAATAAATAAAATCCTAAAAAAGATTAACTTTTCCATAACCACATGCATTTCTTCCCTGTAAGTCTCAAAAAATTTCTCTCTTCTGCTCACACCTAATTCTTCCCATTGGCCTTCCCCAACACTCTGAGAGCTCCACAACTCCTCCCTCCGCCACCTGCTCCTTCCCCAGTCTATAACTTGCTCAACTTTCTCCCATCCCTCCCCCCAAAAACAAAACCTTCCTTAGCCCCTGAATGTAACCTTCTTCAAGTCCTTTTCAAAAAAGATCTAGCCACTTTTTGACTTCCCATTCACTCCCTGATGTACTGCAATCTGACTTACAAGTCCTATGACCTTGGACTATTATCCCCATAAAGTCACGCGGGCTTCATCCTTGTTAGTGTTTCCTCACTGCACCCCTGCAGCACCTGGCACTGTGGTCTCCTCCCCCTCCCCACCTCAGCCCCACACCAAGTATGATTCTTTCCTAAGTATTCTCCTCACTTATTAGATGTTATAATGCCCCACAAGCCACACCCCATCCCAGACTCCAGGCCTTCCCCTCAGACTTCTATCCTGAGTCATGTATCTGACAGCAGCTACCACATCCGCACACCTAGCTCAGATGTCCCTCATTTCACACACGTACAATCAACAGCCTGCTACACATCTCTGCCTATGTCCACAGAAACCTAGACATTCCATTCAACAACCAATTGCCCCTCTTGGAGAATCCACTCCCTACTACTCACACAACTAGACTGCTCTATTTGTACCAAAGGTTCCAACCCCCGTCCCAGACTCCGCTCATCGAGTGGGAAGCTGACCCAGACCAATCGGATTTCCTCTCCTGAGAAAGGGAATTGTGATCCGACAGTCTCGGCAACAGCTCAACTAGGAAATCATACACTGCGGAGGTCACGTGCAAGGACAAGAATGAAGGAGACAGTGCAGCCCAAGAAGAAAAACCAAGAATAACCACCTTGGTGCTGATGACTTGGTATCTGGGTGTGTTTCTGTCCGCACATTCTTTGAGACACCATCAAATTCTTCCCATACACTTTCCCCCTGCTAAGCAATTTTCAGTGGATTTCTATACTTGTAATCGAATGGCACCTAAGATATTCTTCTCTGCACTACAGGAAAGGAAATAAAAATACTGTCCGTGAACTATGCCATGCCGCCAAGATGTACCCTGGTAACAGAAATACTAAAAGAAGGAAACTGTGTGACTTAGAATCAGCGGAACCCAGTATGTACTTGACTCCATGTACACCCTCCCACCACCTAGAATGCCCTTCTTGTTTCCCACCAACCCTAACTCTGCATCCTTCAGGACTAAGCCCCAACCAACTCTACCCTTTCCTGGACCAGCCCCAGCAGAAATCCAGAACATAATAATTACTCTCTACTGTTATCTGACTTCTAATTGTTTAAATCTTAACTGTCCAACAAGACCATAATGAGGGCATGGAATTTTCCTTATTATGTTTCAGATGCTACACAGAACCTTTACAAATAAACACGAAAAACAGTCATTTAATTTGGAAAAAGAAAAGATGTATTCAAAAGGTGACACTATTCAGTGTTCCACCAAGCTCAAGAAAGAAGGGAATATTACAAATAATTCAATACATGAAAGAAAACCATTATAACCTTTTACCTTTTAAATGAGGGGAAAGAATTACATTGTAGCTTAAGAGAATTAAGGAAATATGCATTTGTAGGTGCTCAACAATTCTGCCAAGAAACAAAACTAAAACTATAACTACAATGAAACTACATCCCCACCAGAATTGCTGAAATTAAGGACCGACAATAAGAAATGTTGAAAGGAAGTGAGGCCACGGATACCCTTAGACACTTCAGATGTGCGCACTAGAGCGAAGTGTGTGTATGACCCAGCACAGGAGCGGGTGTGTGTCCTCAAGAAGACACCATAAAAACAGAGCACACAATGCAACGAAACGAGGAGAATGGACTCCACCTCTGGGACAGAATGCGGACCCCCAACGCAGGAACAAACTGTATGTGACCCCATCACATAAAGTTCAACAGGCAGAACTAAGGTACAGCAACAGCGATCACACAGCAATTATCTCGGGGAGAAGGAATACTGAATAGAAGGGAGCAGGAAGAAGCCTATGGAATGCTGGGAGTGTTACTTGATTGGGGGGGGGCGGGGGTGGTCACAACGGTGCAGTCATTTGTAAAAACCCTCCCAGCTGAACCCTCAGTTGATTCCTCACCCCGATTCCAGGCCAGTGCACCCATCCCCAGCCACTGTGGGTTAAGTACTGTTGGCCCCTGAGTGCTACCTTCCCAGGATAACTGCCCTCAGCCAAGGGCCAGCAGTGTCAGAGTCCCACTGTCACCCCAGGGGTGGCCTGCAGCCACAGACCAACTGATGGGCGGGGGGGCGGGTTTACAAAATTCTAGCCCCCTTAGCTCAAGAAGGGACGGTTCTGTGATGCCAGCCATGGTCCCGAGTTCTTGGTGGGATTGAGCCGCAGCTAGACTCCAAGCAAGAAGACCTCTTTTTCCCTGCCCCCTCCCCCCCAATGTCATGTGCACCAAGGTCACCTCCTCAAGCTCTTCTAGGGACATGACCTAAGACACATACAGCTGTTTAGTCTAAACTTCAACCAAAAAAAAAAAAAAAAAAAGAAAAGAAAAATTGTTGTGCACGGCTGAACACCAAGACGTGCCATCTCCCCGCGGTTCTGATCAACAGGTAAGAGCTGCTCCGTGCGGAGCGGTGCTGCCCGTCGAGGCGACAGCACGCGAGCAGCGCATGCGGGGCGCTCCGGTTTCGGGGCGAAGCCGCGGGAAGCGGCACGGCCTCTGCGGTGGTGACCCGCCAACAGCTCGCTGTGCGCATGGGCAGCACTCATGAGCTCCCCCTCACCTGTCCGCTGCACCTGCGGGGCGGGCCGAGGGCACCTGCAGGGTTCGCGGCGGCCGGCCGCCTGCAGCCAACCGCTCGCGCGCACCCCAAGGCCCGACGACGACCGAGGTGGGGGGGGGGAGGCCTGCCCGCTCCGTGCCGGGGTCGCCGCCGGGAAGAGGAGCGCACTGCAGCGCCCAGCACGAAGCCAACAGGACGCCGCTCCGGGGAACGAGCATCCGCCGAGGACTCCGCGCCCACCCGGTCTGCACCTCACGACCCGCGCGGGTCAGCGAGCGAAGAGGAGCGCCCCGCGCCGGAGAGACCCGTAAGCGCCGACGGACCAGGCCCGCCGCACGTTTCCGAACCCGCGGGGCGCGTCTTACTTTTGGCCTCGAATCCCAGGCGTACGGAGAAGCAGCCACGAGCCAGGCCGGCGTCGGGGCGAGCGCACGGGGCACCGCGGCAGGGACAGCGGCCGAGACAGCGACCCCCGGGCGCGCGCGGCGGTGCGAGGGACGGAGCAGCGAGCCCGGGAGGAAGGTGGACCGGGGACCCCACGGTGTCCGGAGAGCCGGGAGCGTGGCCTGGCGGCGCCGGGTTCCCACGCGCGTCCTGCCCCGCTGCGGGGCCGCGGACACCGCCCGCCGCGCAGACCCGGCCCGGGGAGCGGCCGCGGCACCGGCGTCCGCAAACGCGCGCGGGAACCACCGCGTCCCCGGCCCCCGGCGCGGCGCGCACCCCCGCGGCCGCAGGAAGGGCAGCGGCCCGGCCTGCAGGCCCCTCCGCCCGCAGCCCCACCCGCAGGGCAGCCCCCGCCCGGCCGCCCCCCCGGAGCCGCAGGCCCGCGCACAGGCCGCTCTCACCTTCCTGCTGGCGCCACCGAGGGACACCTTGGGCCGCGTCTTGAAATCCCCTTCGAAGCTGAACATCTTTACCGCTTATCCCATCTGGGAGGAGCCCCCGACCCGGACAGCAGCGGGGCGGGCGGGGCGGGCGGGGCGGGCTCCCGGGGGAGGGGTCTCCGCGGAGAGGGGTGGGCGCGGAGGAGGGGTCTCTGCGGGCGGGACGGGCCGTGCCGGGGGG